GCCCTGCAGCCCTGCCCTGCAGCCCTGTCCTCCAGCCCTGTCCTGCAGCCCTGTCCTGCAGCCCTGTCCTCCAGCCCTGTCCTCCAGCCCTGTCCTCCAGCCCTGCCCTGCAGCCCTGCCCTGCAGCCCTGTCCTGCAGCCCTGTCCTGCAGCCCTGTCCTGCAGCCCTGTCCTGCAGCCCTGCCCTGCAGCCCTGTCCTGCAGCCCTGCCCTGCAGCCCTGCCCTGCAGCCCTGTCCTGCAGCCCTGCCCTGCAGCCCTGTCCTCCAGCCCTGCCCGGGGAGCGCTGGCAGCCCCCAGCACACCCTGAGGGTCCTGAGGGCTCCGTGGGACACATCCCATCCCCTGCACCCTGAGCCAGAGCTGCCTCCTCCCCCTGCAGGGCTCAGCTCCTTCCTTCGCCAAAGCGAGTCAGGTGTGGGAACAGATCCGGAGGGGAGCACAAAAGCTGTTCTTGCTGCTGTGAGAGACTTTATTGGCTCAGGTGTCCTCCCCCACAGGGCTGACCCCCAGCCAGGACCTCTGCGCTGCTCACAGCAGAGGCTCCCGCTGGGCTGGGCCTACATGAGGAACCTGGAAAGGTCCTCCTTGATCTCAGCCTCGTCCCACGGCCCGTGGATGTTGTCCTTGAGCAGCTGGAGGCGGATGAGGCAGTAGGGACAGAGGCAGGAGATGGCGAGGAGCAGGGAGGCGAAGAGCACGGCGCCCACGCTGGACACGGTGGCCAGCCCTGCCAGCGCGGCCAGCGCGAAGAGCACCGTCACCCCCACGTAGCACCGGGGCGTCCGGGCCTTCAGCTTCTTCTGCAGCATGGGCCACAGGGCGAACATCTGCATGGCGAAGGTGACCATGACGAAGGCGTGGAGGGAGCGAGGCAGGCGCGAGGCCAGGCACACCGAGGCGAAGATGGCCATGTTGAGGGACAGCGTGCTGGACACGATGGCGGCGTTGGCGCCGTAGTCGAAGAAGATGAGGTGACCCAGGAGCATGAGGGCCGACATGGCATAGATGGTGTCCGTGCTGATGGACTCGGTCAGCGTCTTCAGCACCGGCGAGAAGCCGTAGGTGAAGGCGGCGAACACCAGCGTGCTCTTGAGGTCAGCCCA